AAAATCTTTTTTAAAAGAAAGTAGACTAGAAAACTTTATACCATGATTGCAATAAAAGTATGTAAAGAAAAGAGACTAGAAAGAAACAGTAAAATATTAACAAGTATTTCCCTGAGGAAAAGATTAATGGGTGCATTAGTTGATCCACATGGATTTTGCATTTGAAAATTCACCTACTTATTTATTTGTAACCTTAAACAGTATTCCTAATGCTTTCTCATTCATTTGTGGACATGAACAAGTGGTGAAGAGTGATTCATTCCACATGACCTTCTCAGCTGAGGTCTAAGGGCGATGATCTGCCTTTGCTCTTCTACTATAAACAAGTGCCCCTTTCATACAGGTTTGTTGTTGTTTGTGTTTGTGTGCATGCCCTCATGCACATGTGCCTCCAGAGGCCAGAAGAGGGCATTGGATATCCTGGAGTTGGGGTTACAGGAGGTTATGAACTGCCTGATCTGGATGCTGGGACCTGGAAGAGCAGCAAGCACTCTAGTTATCAAGCCATTGCTCCAGCCCCCTTGTTGGTGATTTTGGTACTTTGAATGTGCCCAAACTGAAGTGGTGTGTTGTGTGTGTCAGGCAAATTTCATTCCGGCTTGAGTTATAGTACCGTTAGTTGTGAGTTGAATATTAATGAAGCAACAGCATTAAATAAGGTCTTTAAACAAGGTTTAAATGTTACATTAGCCAAGTGTGTAATCCCAGCACTCAGGAGGACCACCTTGGGTTCAAGGACAGTCTGGTCTACATAATGAGTTTCAGGACAGCCCTACCAAGTGAGACCCTATCTCAAAAACAAATGAACAATCCTCCTTACAAAAAGCAACATTAGCCGGGCATGGTGGCACACACCTTTAGTCCCAGCATTTGGGAGGCAGAGGCAGGTGGATTTCTGTGAGTTCAAGGCTAGCCTGGTCTACATCATGAGTTCCAGACCAGCTGGAACTACAGGGAGACCCTACCTCAAAAAGACCAAAAAAAAAAAAAAAAAAAGGCAACATCATGGGGCCAAATGTGGTGGCGCACGTTTAATTCTAGCACTTGGAAGTCAGACATAGAGGAAGGCAGATCTCTGTGAGGTCAAGCCAGCCTGGTCAACATAAAGAGTTACAGACTAGCTGGGGCTATAGGGAGACTCTATTTCAAAAAGAAGGGGGTTGGGGGAGGGGAGAAGGAGAGGAAGAGAAGGAGGAAGAAAAGAAACACAAGGTTATGTTTTGTTTGATTAAAATGTTGTATCCAGGGCTGGAGAGATGGCTCAGTGGTTAATAACACTGACTTCTCTTGCAGAAGATCTGGGGTTTAATTCCTAGCACCTACATGGTGGCTAACAACTGTCCATAACTCTAGTACCAGGGGGATTTCATGCCCTCTTCTGACCTCCACAGGCATTGCTCTTACATACATGTAGCCAAAACACTCATACACATAAAATTTTTTTTAAAAATTAATTTTTAGAATGTAACCAGAGGCTTTATAGGAATCTAAAAATTGCTTGTGGCAACTTTTAAACATTTATCCAATGTGCTCCGGATGCGGTACTGTAGGGGGTCCAACCTTTGACATTGTGGCATGATATTACCATCTCCAGGTATGTTGGACTGCACTTACAGGCATCCTGTGGTGCATGCTGCGTGCAGGCTGCAGGTTGGATACACCTGCTATGCTGCATACTTTAACAGCCAACATCACTTTGACCCTATTTCACCTCCCGTGTGTCTCCTGTGTACTGTTCAGCAGTGGATCAAGAAACCATAAATATGTTCTTTTGACAGGACCCAACTCTGCTGTGTCCTGGGCATAGGCTGGGAGGGAGAGGAGAGGCCCGTGTTAGGAGTTTCTGATGTGGGCTGCTGTGCATGCCATAAGGCTTTTTATAGGAATCAGTAAGTTTAGAAGTCTCAAAACAAGGAGAACATTTATTTCTCTTCACAGCCTGGGACATCAGTGTAACTGACAAGCAACTTGGGGCAAATGAACAGTCAGTTACAAAGAACTCTGGCTTTCAGTGCTGGAAAAATGAGAAATGGCATTTTGGGGACAAAAGGGAATTTGTCTATATTGACCTGTTAGTAAATTTTTTTTTTTAAACAGGGTCTCATTGTATAGCCCTGGCTGGTCTAAAACTGGCTATGTAGACCAGGCTGGCCTCCATCTCACAGAGATCCACCTGCCTTTGCTTCCAGAGTACTGGAATTAAAGGTATGTGCCACATTGCCTGGCCCAGTCAGGTTTTGTTTTGGTTTGGTTTGGTTTTTTTAGGTCTGTGATCAGTTTGTAAATGAAAAGAATGAACAACACATGTGAGCGCCATTCCCCCTTCTGACCCCAGCCCATTCTCTCCACCTCCTTGAAGCCTTTTGCCGCCATCCCCACACTGGCCATTATTTACCTGTCTGGATCCACCAGCCTCCACCAGTTGGCAATGCAAGCTTACATCCTCGCTCCTTGTCTCCTGAGGCGGCCTCTCTCACTTCCAACAACCAGGAAAGGCCAGGTCGCCTTTGTCATAGGATCTCTAACGCCTACCACAAAATCTTGTGCACAGAAGGAGCTTAACCAAACTCCCTAAACCAAAGTTTCACAAAGAGTAGGGGATTGTCTCCTGAGGGACACTTACCAGAATGAAGAATGTATAAAAGCAAAAGATACCACACAAAAAGTGAGAAAAGCAAGCCAAACAGATTGGGTAAAGGAATTTCAATGTATATTAAACACTGGGACTGTACCAACAAAACCCTCAGATAAACCAAACTATCTAAGAAGAATAACCAGGCTGGAAAGTAGAAAAAGGATAAGGGATAAATAGGAACTTGATCTGCATCAATAGGGCTAGAGAGACGGCTCAACAGTTAAGAGCACTGGCTGTTCTTGCAGAGGACTCAGATTCAGTTCCCAGCACCACATGGCAGCTAACAGCCAAGCCTAACTCCACTTCCAGGGGATCTGATGCCCTCTTCTGATCTCCACAGATATTGTAGACACTAGAGCACTTACATGAAGGGCAAACCACTCACACACATAAAATAAAAATAAATTTTAAAAAGAGAGAAATCTCCAGCAACATGAAAAGATTCTCAAGGTAACTAGTGACTGTGGACTGTGATTCAAAACTGCAAAGAGCCAGGCATGGTGATGCACACCTTTAATCCCAGCACCTGGAAGGCAGAGGCAGATCTCTTTGTGAGATCAAGGCCAGTCTGGTCTACTATAGCAAGTTCCAGGCCAGCTGGGGTTACAGAGGAACCCTGTCTCAAAACCAAACCAAAACAAAACTGCAAAGAATTCAATTTCGTATCCATGAGCTGGGGAGAATGTGACCATTTCCCACACAGCAAGAATGTGGGACCATGTGGGCCCATAGTCACTGCTGGCAGGTTGTAAGGGGGGGTCAGTCACTTGGAAGGCAATTTGGCATATCTAACAAGGCTGGTGAAGGGCCATTGATAGGCTCTGTGACTTTGAAACCCCTTCCATGTAGGCTCTAAAGAGACTTTTAGTAATGTTCACAACAAGAAATGTTCATGTTTACTACTTACAAGCATTATTTGCAGTAGCAGAAAACTGGTAAGCAACCCAAATGACTATTAGGAGGATAGATGATGAATCATGAGCATGTGTACAATAGTATCAGTACCAGTGAACAGAGTAAAGCTAGTGATGGAACAACATAGGAGAAATCTCTCAAAGAATACTAAGAAAACAAAAGAAGTTACACTGTAGTCTCAGGACCTGAGGGACTGATGGGGGAGGATTCCTGGAATCACTGGAGTCCAGGAGTTCAAGACCAGTCTGGGCAATATAGTGAGTTTCCCACCTCAAAAGAAAATTGCAGAACTATAAGATAGTATAAACATATTTATATAAAGTTTAAAATTCCAGGGCTCACAAGATGGCTCTATGAGAAAAGTTGCCTGATGCCAAGCTCAGTTCCTGGGACCCATATGGTTGAAGGAGAGAACTGACTTCCACAAATCGTCCTCTGACCCCTACATGCACTACTGTGTTGCAAGTAAGCATTCTCTCTTCTCTCTCTCTCTCTCTCTCTCTCTCTCTCTCTCTCTCTGTCTCTGTCTCTCTCTCTCTCATCAAATAAATATGATAAAAAACTTAAAATATATAAAATGGTATTTTATGTGTGTAAATATATGTATGAAATAAAAGTAAAAAAGGCATGCATAGAAATAGCAAATGCTGGCCAGGCGTGGTTGCCATGTCTTTAATCCCAGCATTTGGGAGGGCAGAGGCAGGCGGATCTCTGTGAGTTCAAGGCCAGCCTGGTCCACACAGAAAGTTCCAAACCATTCAGAGCTACACATTGAGACCTTGTCTTAAAAAAGAGGAGGGACTGGAGAGATGGCTCAGTGGTTAAGAGCACTGGCTGTTCTTGCAGAAGACCTGGGTTTGAATCCCAGCACCCATATGGCATTACATATAAGTTACAGTTATAGCTGTCTGTAACTCCAGTTTCAGGGGATCTGATGGCCTCTTCTATCCTCCGAGGGCCATGCACAACAGAGGTGCACTTACTTACACACATGCAGGCATTAACACTCATACACGTAAAATAAAAATAACATTTTTAAAAATGAAAAGTAATTTACAAAGGGGCATAAAATAAGCAACAGACAACACAACACATAATCATGACTATAAAGGCAAGGGCTGAAGTGTGGATGGAGATACAGATAGTAAATAAGTCAGTGCTCACCTTGACAGTCCCTTCACCACAAAGACCTTGTTGGAATGCTGCTTCTCCAGTTTGCTCATCACCTCGTAGAGACTGTGGTTCAGCTAGAGCCAGGAAGAAGGGATGCTAGCCAAGTGAGAGCCCTTGGCCACTCCCTGCCCCAGTCAGCTTTCCCAGTCAAAATCTCCCTGTCCTTCACTGTGACCTGCAATTCCTCTGCAGCTCTCCAGCACCTTCACACAGGGGCCTGCCCTACCCCCACCCCTTTCCTGTATGCTCTGTTGTGCCCTAAGGGCTGCCTTCGCCATTGGCTGGCAGCTTTTTCAAGGCAGGGTCCATAACAGTTTAAGTTGAGGTTCTAGCTTTTCTCAGGTGATCCAGGGAATGAAAACACATTAATATTAACCAGGCAAATAATATTAGCCAAAGAAATGTGAAGAGGAATATGTGTGGCTGTGCGAGAGTATAATACTGTAACAATGAAGAGTCTTGTAACTTCAAAGTGGGAGAGACTTCACAAGGTCGTGTTCTATGGCTGCATGTCACTCACAGGACTGGTTCCACTCAGGAACAAGCACCCAAGAAAGTGCCCAGTGCTTGAACACAGTCCTCTCCACTGTCTGAACAATCGCTAGGTACTTCACAGCTTCATTCCCATTTCCACTCCTTTTCATAAGCCTCACCTGCTTATTTATGATGACGCTCCAGTTCAGATGCTAAGATCTTACTTAGTTAGGGAGACAGAGAGGACAGATAGTATATATCTATATACATTTAAAAAGTTTAACATAGTAAGTCAAGGGCTGTAATTTCATCATAAGATAAAAGTCAAAATCTGGGGGTGGGGGTGGTATTTGCTGGGCATGGTGGTGCACACCTTTAATCCCAGCAGTTGGGAGGCAGAGGCAGGCAGATCTCTATGAGACCCAGTCTAGCCTGGTCTACATAGAGAATTCCAGGCCAGTTGGGGCTACAGGGAGACCTGGTCTCAAAACAAAACAACAAACAACAAGAAAACAAAACAAAACAAAAATCTGTATTGCCAATATGGATGTCTAAAGAAATTCTATAAATGAGGACTACCATGTATTTCCTAGGAAAACCCACTTATGAGTCCCAGTTGGCCAGATGTTTCTTACCTTGCTCATTTCCCTGTAGAATACATCCCTCAAGTTGGAAATGTTTTGGAAGATGGTCACGTAACAGCCAATACGACTATTAGGAAACAAACAACAAAAACGCACAGGTAAGGGGCAGTAAGGAGGCCAACTAGCCACCAACAAGACTCCTAGGAGAAAGCCATCCCATATCCTGGACTCAGATCCAGTCCTGGAATCTGGATTCATAAGAGTTGGGCCAACAGTACATATGGCTCAGGAGTAGAAAGGCCAGGGAAGACAACAGTAGCCCAGGTTGACATCAATGTTTAACAGATCTTTAGTTTCAAGAAGTTATCTAATTCAGCCTCTTGAGGTGTCAAAGTAGACATTAAAGTACTATGAAGAATTTTTAAAAGAGATATATAAACATAAGGCCACATAATTATAATTATTATAATAAGCAGCTGTTTTTTCTCTTTACATGAAAGGAGACTCCTATGCCTGTATGTACCTTAATGGAATTCTCCTATAAATTACTCTTACATTGAAAGAAACTATGTTACATTTCCACTATTTAAATCAGGAGGCCCATAAACATAGTCATTACAAAGGTTACATCCAGCTGGGGCTACAGGGAGACCCTGTCTCAAAAAGACCAAAAAAAAAGGTTACATCTAGCCATGTAGCCAGACCACACCTTTAATCCCAGTACTCTGGAAGCAGAGGCAGAGGGATCTCTGTGAGATTGAGGCTATCCTAGTCTATTTAGCAAATTCCAGGCTAGCTGGGACTACAGGGAGACTCTGTCTCAAAAAAAAAAAAAAGTGGTTACATCCTAACAACTAAACATGCTGTAGTCCTAGACCTGGGCTGCATGGACAGACCCTGTCTCAAAGAAAGGCTACATGAAAATTGATTGCAAGTAAGACAATTACTCCCACTGTATCAAAGCATGCATTGTACAATGAAAATAAGATACAAGTTTCTGGAAAATAAATTAAAACACTTTTCTCTACCATGAAGCAACAGTACCATCATTAATGCTGATCACCATTCCATGGCTATCTTCTATGTAAATCTGGATGTTTATGGACCAAGGTGGTTTAAAACAATACACACAAGCAATGTGAACAAATCCCCATAGTACATAGGACGATGGCACTTTACTTGACAAGATCTCTGCTACCAAAGAAGCATCTGGTCTTCAAACCCAGAAAAGCTGGCAGGGCAAGGATGGTTATCTCTGTATTGCAGGTGAATAAACCAGGTCTAAAGAGATAAGGATGCTTGCCTAATATCAGACAGCAAGTTAATGGAAGGGCTGTTGCTACATTCCACTCTTTGACCAAGGTTCTTCAAATGAGGTGTCATATTTGGGCTTCCAGGTGGCCTTGGCCTCCACTGGCCCAAGGTTTATCTGTCCTGAATGTCAATCATTACCTATTATAAAGAATAGGCAGCTCCTCCAGTAGTTCCTGATTCAGATCTTCAAACACAAGCTGGGCTTTGTTGAACTCTTCTTCTGCCTAGGCAACAAAACAGACAAGGGCTAGAGGTTGCCGCCTTCATTCTCTGTAGTTTTTCAGGGACCAGGCCATTTGGAGCCATACCTTTCCTCTCTTTCCCCAGGCCCATTCCCCACCTCCCCCTAGCCTCAAGACTCTGGCTGCCCTTATGGCATCAGAGTCAAAAGAAATTGGTCTCCTTCAGGACACTGGATGCTGAACCGTTCACTTCCTTCCCTCATCTTGGCCCAGCCACCTGCCATCACTCTGTGGGAAGCGACACCAGGATGGTTTTGCTAGGTTGTTTTGTTACCTTGGCAGTCTTGGCCTCATCTTTCTTCTTGGCATTCTGCACAGCCTCCAGGTGGTGTCTGGCACTGTCATAGTCCACCAGTTTCCGGCCCCTCTTGGCAATTCTCTCCTAGCCCAGAATGATGAGAAGGAGGAGGATGCTACTCACTTTTCAGTGGGCAGGATAAGGGTAATAGAGCTCCAAGTAGAGAAGCGAGATTTTGGCCCTTACCACAGATTTTATAGGCTGTTGTACCCCAGGAATCTCCCTCATGATCTTAAAAGAATGGGGATTCCCAGATAGAAAAATCTGTATTAAATTTTTAATTTTCCTACAAACCCATTATAAATGGTTTCAACTTCCAGGAGAAACACCCTTGAGAATGCCACTAAACTGAAAGTTAGGCATTCTGGGTCTCAGTTCTAAATTTACCACTGACTACCCTTGTAGCCTAGCATGAAGTGCATCCTTTCCCGGCCTCGGTGCCCTCATCAGCCCACACAGCATTATTTTATTTATTTATTTATTTATTTTATTTAATTCATTTATTATTTACTTATCTATTTATCTATCTATCTATCTATCTATCTATCTATCTATCTATCTATCGAGACAGGGTCTCCCCATAGCCTCAGTTGTCTGGCACTCACTATGTAGACCAGGCTACCTTTGAACTCACAGAGATCTACCTGCCTCTGCCTCCTAAGTGCTGGGGCTTAGAGGTGTGCGCCACCACATCCAGCACAAGCATTATTTTAAAGACCAGATGCTGAGTATAGAGTACTCAGAGAACTCCACAACAAAAATAGTAAATGATTATAAGCAATGGAAGAAAACTGACTCAATCTCATCTAAACTACAAATAGAACTAGGGAGAGGCAGACCGTTTCATTCCTCATTCCATTCTCTAGATCACAGAATTGGAAAATATCTTAGTGACTAACTTCTACAACTTCTTCACTAATTTTTCTTCAGTGTGGGGATGCATGAAGTGCCCCTACAATGTCCAAGATAAGCAGCAGTTCAACTTCTGTCTGAACACAGAACAGAAAACTATCTCAAACTGTATTTCATTTTATTGTTGGAAAGCTTTCATTTAAAAGCATAACTTAATCATTAACGTGCATTTGGAAACTTATGTTAGCCTTTCTGGAATTTCTTCCTCTTAATCTAAAATCAGTACAGTGCCCTAGATAATTAATAGATTTAGTTGAATGAATAAAAATTCTAATTCTAGGGCCAGTGAGATGGGTCAGTGGGTAAAGGAGCTTGCCACCAAGCCTGAAGACCTGAGTTTAATACATAAGATAGGAGAAGAGAATTGGCTCTTGAAAGTTGCCCTCTGACACATACACATACACACACTAAACAAACAAATAAATAATGAAATTTTAAAAAATTCTAATTCTGGGGCTGGAAAGATGGTTCAGTGGTTAAGAGCACTGGCTGCTCTTACAGAAGATGGGATTTGAATCCCAGAACATACACGGCAGCTAACAACCATCCATAATTCCAGTTCCAGGGGATCTGACACCCTCTTCTACCCTCCTCAGGCACTGCACAACATGGATGCACTTACACACATGCAGGCATAACACTCGTACACATAAAATAAAAATAAATCGATTTTTAAAAATTCTGCTTTCAGGAACAGGTTAAATTCTCTTCATCTAACAGAATTTCAAGTATTTGAAGATAATTATTAAGATTCCCCCAAATTTCTTCTATATAATAAACATCTCAGTTCCGTCAGCTGTTTCTTACATTTAAAAGGGTTGCTCTAGCCAGGCACAATGGCACACAGCTATAATCTCAGTACTCAGGAGGCTGAGACAGGAGGATGGCAAGATTCAGGCCAGCCTAAACTACATAACAAGATGAAAGAAAAAAGAAAAAAAGGGAGAGAGAGAGAGAGAGAGAGAGAGAGAGAGAATGAATGCTTTGACTTAGATCTGATTCACTGATCAACTGAGCCCAAAATTGAGTTTACTGAAATATGTTTAAAAATAACCTTCACACCACTTCCGTCATCCTAATCTTCAGCCTTAATATTCTCTTAAGCTACCCAATTTGATTTCTAACCATGGGCTTCTTGGTAATATTTAACCTGATACATTTTCTAACCAGTGTGGACCCACAACCTGGCCCCCACTCTGCAGATCAAGTACCTTAATCTCACTGAACTGGGCCACATAGTTTTCCATGGTCCTCAAAGCCTGGTCAGCCAGCTTCTCTTCATAGTCTTCCCACAGGAGGTCATTGTTCTGTCAGGTACGGGCAGAGGCTGGTGAGAACCCTACTTCTCAACAACTGCCCACTAGAGAAATACCCAAATTCTCCCTACAAGATTTTTTTTTTTGTTTCCCTGTATTTACTATATTATGTCAGAGTATCAAGAAGAACAGTCGGGCTCCGTCCCAAGGAAGTGCATCCAGGGGTGACGAGCAGGAGCACAGAGCACCCTGGGCTCTAGCGCTTAGAGTATAAAAAATTTAGGAAATAATTAATTGTACAAGGTGAGTTTTCAAAAAAAATCCCACCTTCAAGAAAGTAAAGTTTCTCCAAAGTCTTACAGGGGAAAGAAGGACAAGACCTGAGGAATCCAGAGATTGGGAAAACTTGTTTATCTTCAAAGAGTTGCTTTCTGTCTATCATTCACTGACTGAAGCTATGCACACGGACACTGCAAACTGACTCCTCTGTTTCCCTGTTTTCTAGGACAGAGGAGCTCAGCAGAGCTGAGGGGAGAATGGGAGTGCACGCTGAAGCTGCCCTTACCCCCACGATGGCCTTCAGCTCCTCGAATCCATCCCACTCGCTGCTGTAGATCTCCTGCAGGGTTTCTGATACTCTTTTTGAACTTTCATGCATCACTGAAAGGAGAGAACTCATTCCTACCAGATGTGATCACACAGGTGATTAGGGAGTCTAGTCCAGAAGGCTGGGTGATCACTAAGAAAAGCTAGATGGGAGTGGGATAGGAAGTCATCCGAGGCCCACAGAGTTCAGGTGTCAGGGGTAGCTAAGCAGTGAGCACCCTGGGTCTGGGAGGCTCTGTGTACCTCAGCCTGCCCAGTCCCCTTATGAGAACCCCTGATTTCTTCCAGGGTGAATACCCACCTTTGACTGCACTAAAAAAGTTCTTCAGGTCCTTATATAGCTTGTGGCCTTCTGCCTGAAAGGGGAAAGAGCTCTGGTAACTATCAAGATAAATTGTAAAAGACGCCCTTTAGGTCAACCTTGGAAAGGAGGTTAGACACAGACCCCACTCCTGGAAATTTCTTCAGGTATTCACAGTGGCAACGAGTGACCTTTACTTTCTTTACCAACAAGGTGCAGGTTGAAGTTGGGGTACCTGGAGCCCCCAATGCATGGGTTTGTCTTCTGTCTTCTGCTCGCTCTCTCTTCTAGTGCACAAGAGCCTATTACCAGGCTGAATGTGGTGGCACACACCTTTAATCCCAGCACCCAGGAAGCGTAATCAGGTGGATCTCTGTGAGATCTGGGCCAGCCTGGTCTATATCATGAGTTCCAGGCCAGCTGGAACAAAACAAGAGCCTATACCCAAGTCCTGCTGGAATTTAAGTGTCCTGTTTACCACTATCTATGGTTCACATCACCTCCAAGGTCATTGCAGTTGATTCCCTCCTGTTCCATCCCAATGTCTGCCACCAGTACAATTCTTTCCCTCCCTGCTTTCACATTTGCTCTTGTGCCTGAATTCATTCTCTCGCTCCTCTCTCTACTCTCTCTCCCTCCCTCCCTCCCTCTCTCTCTCTGCAAGTTCTCTTCTTCTTTCTTTTTTAAAGGTATTTTAAATTTTTATTTTATGTGTATGAGTGTTTTGCCTGTATGTATATAAGTACATCTGTGTTATGCAATGCCTGCAGAGGACAGAAGGGGGTGTCAGAACTGAGATGGATGGTTGCTAGCTGCTATGTGCATAACCTGGGTCCTCTGCAAGAACAGCCAGTGCTCTTAACTGCTGAGCCACCTCTCCAGCCCCTCTTCCTCTTTCTTAAAGAGAAGGGAGTCAAAGGCAATGGTGCACACTTGTAATTCCAGTGGCTCAGGAGGCTAAGGCAGGAGGGTCACTTGAGCCTAGGAACTGGAGGTCAAACTGGGCAGCATAGTCAGACCTCATCTCAAAATGAGTGAAAAATAAGTAAGCAAAGGGCAGGAGAGAAAGGTGTCACTGAGAGTTAGGAGCTCGGGCCTCAACCTGACAATGAGCTGCGACTCTGACACCTGTTTTTCCTCTGCTTTGTTGCTTGCTTGCTGACAGTCGTGCCTCTGAATTCCAGGCTGCCTTGAACTTGCAATGGTCCTCCTGCCTCAGCCTCCCAATGCTGGACAGTCTGTTTCTTAACTATGTCCAGGAACCAGGGAACAGTAACCTCTTGCATGAGATAGTACTTCTTCATGTTTAAATAGTTCTGTTAGAAGGTTGGACTTCAGAACCCACACAGGAGGTCTTACTTTTAAATTAAATTTATTTATATGTTGTGCATGAGCGTATATATGATGTGTGGAGTTCAGGCACACGTGTGCCATTGATACATGTGGAGGTCAGAGGGTGGACTTTGGGAGTTGGTTCTCTTTTCCACCTTGTTTAAGCAGGGTCTCTCTTGCTCTTTCTCCCCGCTCCCTACCCACATACTCCAGGCTAGCTGCCTGCAAGCTTCTGGGTGATTCTCTTGTGTCCTGCCTCCTATCTTGCCTTACAAGTACTGGGATTACAGATGTGAGTGACTATATTCAGTTTTTTTGTTGTTGTTTTGTTTTTGTTTTAAGCATGGGTTCTGAGATGAAACAGGGTGTCAGGTTTGCCTGGCAAGTGCTTTTACCTGCTGAGCCACCTAGCTGGCCCAGAAATCGAACTTTGTTTTCCACACTAACTTGAGGACAAACCTCACACTTGTCACCAAGTCTCCCTCAGAGGTCTTCTCAGTTACCCTCATTGTGTTGCCTACAGCCACTCCCCATTCTGTTCTCTTTCCTGTGTGAGTTCCAGGTTCTAAGAGCAAAGCATAACGCATGACAGTGTGGAGCCTGAGCGTGGGAGTGGGCAGAGAGGTGCAGCCCACTTTGAGGGTATGATGCAGGCCAGCCCCTGGGTCAGAACATACAAGCTCAGAGAATGGAATATTTGCTAGCTACAAAGTACAAAGTTGTATGCCATGAAAATACTTGCTGTGAACTTGTCATTACTAGATAGGTTACTGAGTGGATCAAAACCCTCAAAAATTAACACAGGCAAAAAAAGAGAGAAAATTTTATCTAATGACTTCAGGGTTTTTGTTTTGATTTGTTTTTTGGTCTTTTTGAGACAGGGTCTCCCTGAAACCCCAGCTGGCCTGGAACTCACTATGTAGACCAGGCTGGACTTGAACTCACAAAGGTCTGCCTTTGCCTCTGAAGTGCTGGGATTAAAGGCGTGTGCCACCACGCCTGGCTATACAACTTTAGTTTTTATCTGGGGAAATCTTTGGAAAAAGCCACTATTTAATTTTAGCAGTAGTTGGGGTCTGGAAAGATGGCTCAGCAGTTAAGGCCACTGGCTGTTCTTGCAGAAGATCTGGGTTCAGTTCCTAGCATCCACATGGCAGTTAACTACCGTCTGTAACTCTAGTTGCAGGGGATCTGGTGCCCTCTTCTGACCTCCAAGGGCACTGCATGACATGGTGCACCCACCTACGTGCAGACATTATACTCATACACATTAAAAATTTTAGCAGCAGAGTATCTAGGCCTACTGGTCAAATAATCAAAGAGAATCTGAGCATTTCTTCCATGTTCTTGCCTCCAGAGCTCACTTCTGAACTTCAGGTTCAAAATCCCTCTCAAGCGACTGAATGCCAGATTGAAGGAAAACAAGGACTCAGCCACAAAGGCTCTGGAGGTGTTGCCAGAGAGCTGGGAGAAGCGGCATTGGAAAGCCATCACAGCAAACAGGATCAAGAAAACATCAGAGAAAGGGAAGGGCCTCATGTTGTAGACATGTCATATCATACAAGAGTCAGTAGAAGTCAGAGGACTTGGTCACTGGAGGTCACTGATGTCCTTGAGAAAGCACTTTCAATGGTAATGGAGCCAGGTTCATTAACAAAATCTAGAAAGACTCAGCATTCACTGGGGCAGATGCTGCTCCTCCTGCTTTTTTTTTTTTAGATAGGGTCTTGCCAAGACTACTGTGGCCTGGAGCTCATTGTGTAGCCCATGCTAGCCTTGAATTTGCAATTTTTCTGTCTCTGCTTCCAGAGTGCTGGGATTATAGATGTGAATCACTATACCTAGCT